GCAAAGGAGTGGAAAAAGACTGTTGCTGGAGTTAATGGGTAGATTTATATGAAGTGGGCTATGGTAGGCTGTTTTTACATTTATTAGAAGCAGTCTCCTCTCTGTTCTTTTTCTTTGTAAGGGTATTGTGACCACGATAACATTGCAGGTTTATTTTTTAATGGTAGTGGATAAATGTATTGAGGTTTGAATTTTTGAATGTAGGATAAATCATCTATTTGCCACAAGCCACCTGGGAGACACGGCAAATGTGGAAGAAGGAGCTCTGGTCAGATGAAATAAAAATTTTGCAACAATGAAAAGTGTTATGTCTGTCTGGGGCAAAAAGCAACACAGCTCATCACCCTGAACACACCATCCAACCTGTCCAACATAGTGGTGGCAGCATCATGGTTTGGGCCTGTTTTTCTTCAGCAGAGACAGGGAAGATTGTTAAAATTGATGGGAAGATGGATGGGGCCAAATACAGGACCATTCTGGAAGAAAACCAATTGGAGTCTGCAAAAGACCTGAGACTGAGACGGTGATTTATCTTCCAACAAGTCAATGATCCAAAACATTAAACAAAATCAACAATGGAATGGTTTACAAATGAACATATCCAGGTGTTAGAATGGCCAAGTCAAAGCCCAGACCTGAACCCAATCTAGAATCTGTGGAAAGAACTATATTGTTTACAAACACTCTCCATCCAACCTCACTGAGATTGAGCTGTTTTGCAGGAAAAATGGGCAGAAATTAAGTCTCCCAATTTGCAAAACTGATAGAGACATACCCCAAGTGACTTACAGCTGTAAACTCAGCAAAAGGTGGCGCTAAAAAGTTTTAACTCAAGGGCACTGAATAATTTTACACACCAGATTTTCTTTTTTTTATGTATTAAAATAGTTTGAATCAATTTCATTCTTCTTCATGGTTGTGTCCCAGTTGTTGTTGATTCTTCACAAAGAATTAAAATTTTAGGTCTTTATGTTTGAAAACTAATTGTGGAAAAAGGTTAAAAAGTTCAAGGGGGCTGAATACTTTTGCAGGGCACTGTATGCATGCAGCTTGTTTAAAAAAACAAAAAAGGAGCCAGCAGGAAAACTATAACAGGAAAAAGAAAATCCATAAGATTATATTTGAGTTCATAGGTTTAATATTTATATAGCTATGATAATGTCTAGTAAAATTTATACAAACTTACACATCCAAAAAATTAAATTTCATTGAGAATTTCACACCACTTCAACTTGACAGAACTCTAGTTAGCCGCCTCATTTATAAGGTGTAAACTTTTATGATTCTTATTCTAAACTGGAATCAAAACCAGAATCCTTCAATTAAAATGCATCCCTATCCAAACCTTATCCTTTGTCAGCGGCAACAGAAATATATGATCAAATTGGATTTCTAAAAACATTTTTTGTATTTTTCTTGGTCATAATTGGAAAAAAGTATTCAACTTTAGTCAAATAAAAGCAGTTTGGTGGTTATAACTGAGTCTGCATTGTATTTGGTCTTTTTAAAGATTAGAAGACAGTCATAAAAAGCCTCACAGCTTAATCGCTCAGTCCTGTTCGTGACAAAGTATTTAATTTTAAACTTTTGCAAAGAATGTGAAGGTTCTCACACAGCTCAAACAAAACAAGTTACAAATTAAATAACCTTGAACCAAAGGAGTCTCCCCTCCCTTCTCACTGGAAAACAGCTTCTCAGGCGTAAGAAAAAAAAAAAAACTCCTATGCAGACACATTGTGGCCTTGCAGGTGTGAGACTGCCTGAGCAAATTCTGTTATTAAGCAAAGATGATAAAATGAATACTCATGGGTAATAAAATTGAGGAATGGATGTGAAATTAATTTTAACTATAGTTAAACTTGGAGTGTTTTAAACAGACATCTACACACAACCATCTGTCCTTTAGAAAACCAAAGTGTCACATCATCTACAGTATGAGTCTATAACACTGATACCATGGTGGAAATAAAACAGATCAATTTGCACAACAACAGGTTGCATAATGCAGAGGCATCTGCTGAGCCGTATTTCCCTCTTCATTGTGTTTACTTTGAACAGATTTGCTCAGACAAGCCCTTTCTTTCTTAAGTTGTACTTGATGCATGCCATGTCATCATAGGTGGTTCTATTACTGAAAGGTCCTTTAGAACAATTTAATTTGTTTTCTTTACAAATTCTGTTTAACTAATTATTTTAAAACAATAATTAGTTAAACAGTTTTCATCTGCTAAATATTTGTTTTTTTAACAAAATAAAATACTCCAATTTTTTCAGCTGAATTTATCCGTTTTTCTTTAGTTCTAATTCAGATTTATAGAAAACGGTCATTTTAACTTAAATTAAGCAGAAAAATATGTAAAATTCCTAAATCATGTATATATAAATATATGTATTGA